CAGCCCCCACTCCCCTGCCCCCTACTTACCAGCTCTGAGTCTGGCTCCAGCTCCCTGTTGCAGCCACCGGGGACTGCCTGAATCATCGAAGCTCTCCAAACCTTTTCCGAATCAATTCAGAGAGCTTCAAATTGATTCAGACCTTTTTATTGGTCCCCTGATTTGATTCGGATTTGGAGATTCGGCCACCGAATCGAGCTAAATCTCCTCCGAATCGAATCACCACCCAAAGCTTCGCACAGCCCTAGCGTGCATGCATGTGCATGTGCACACAAGCCTCCTTGCTGTGAGAATGTGTGTGCACGTGCGAGTGCATGTGTGCATGCATATGCATGTGTGTGTGTGTCTGTGTATATGTGCACGCATGTCCAGGTCTCCTTGCTGTGAGAACATGTGTGTGTGTGTTTGTGTGTGTGCAAGCTTCTTTGCGTAGTGTGTGCACGTGCCCAGGCCTCCATGCTGCGAGAGAGAGAGAGCGCATAGAACCATTTGCTTTAGGTTAGAGACGGGGTCGAGCTGTAAAGCCCCCGACCCCGACCCCGACCCCTCCAGAGATGGAGGCTGTGGCGCAGCGGCACTCCCTCCACAGTATTCTTCGCCGCCAGGACACGCACAGCCCTGCTCTAGCCCACATCCCCGCCGCCCCGGCTCCCACCTGCCTCCCTCTGTCATGGTGCCAGCATGCAAGACTGAACCGAGCTTTTGGTTATGACCCATCTCTTAGTGCTGAATGGGGCTAAATTTTAACCCCCCAAAAAATACTTCCCGGGGAGTGTAAAATAAGGCGGTGGAGTGAGACCATTTAGGCTTTCATTATTACCAGTGTAAAGGTGGGAGGAATGTGGGATTTTTTTTGCATCGTGCACTACCCAGCAAAAAAGCGGCCCCACGTTCACAGCCTGCCAACATGCCTTGTTTTTCAGAACCACAGTAACTCGGACGTCGTGTCCATCGACTGCAATGTGAAACTCGCCCCCAACGAGGACATCAGCTTTCACTTACGCGGCTACCTGTGGATGAAGTCACTGAAAGCAGTAAGTGCTAGTCCATGGGCCGTGTGGCCCGTGAACCACGAGAGCCCCTCAAGGAGAAATTGTATAGTAAACGTGGGTTTTTTTGCTTACTCCCAAACACCTCCCTGCCCCATGGAGCACGACCCCGTCTGCAATGATGCTCTGCTTTGTTTAGCACACCATAAGACTCCTCCAAAAAATTCCCAGGACACCTCCACGCGGCTAACGTACTGCTTAGCTGATACGCCACATTTGCACCTTCAAGGTGTTATGTCCACCGGCCTCATGGCTGGTGTGAGCATGGCCCACGCTTCTGAAGCCTGTAGAGAGGCCTTTGCTCACACCAGGTCTGCATTTGGCCCCTAGAGACAAGAGCAGGGGCATTAAAGTCAACAGATCTCATTGAGGCCTGCGAGACTGCGTGGGGGACCACGCATGAGAGCCACCTCTAGCTTAGCATCCCGGTGGCCACCCGGCACTAGGGCTGGACCCTGCACACAAACCAACCCCTTGCCTTTGGAGCAGCCATGAGCTATGGGCCCCGTTCCCAGGTGGGACCCAGCCCGGCCTCCCACAGCTCAAAGCTGATGGCCCCTCAGTGGCTACTGGGGATCATGGCAAAGTAGGGCTGGAAGGGACCTCCCTAGATCATCGAGTCCAACCCCTATTTGAGGCAAGACCATCCCTATCCCAACCATCCCAGATGCATCCATCATTAGTCAAACTACCATCAACCCTAACACAACACGAGACATCACACCGAACCTGCCACAGCTATAGCAGGGGGAGCGGGGCAGCCAACATCCTGCTGCTGTAAAGGTTGTTAATATACACTCAAGAGATCCCAGGCAGAGGCTGTTTCCCAGAAAAAACTCATAGTCCGTATCAATCTGACAATGGGGTAAAATTTCTCCTTGACCCCAAATATAGCAGCGGTCTGCCCCTGAGTGGAGTGGCAGGACCCTCTAGCCAGGCTTGAAGTCTCAACAGGAGCACTGACCCACCACAAAGCACCCCCAGTTAGCCAGAAAGGGGCCCCTTTGCTGACCCACAACTAGCCCCACCCTCCAGGGCCTTCCCTGCAGCTGGCGAGCCATGTCCTCCCCACACCACGGGCACCCACGGGCTTCCACACTAGCGGGCTGGGGCCCTGCCCCACCGGCGCCAACGCGTGCCGCCGTTCTCTCCATGCAGCTGAAGTTCAAGGCACTGAAGCTCACCACGCACGCCGCCCTGCAGCGCCGCTTCCGCAGCCCCTTCGTCTTCAGGGAAGAGGACCCCAGCCGCCAGGTGAGTGAGGCGCGCCTCCCCCTGCCACTAGACACGGTCCCCGCTGAGGGCATTCACCTCTGACGCCCCGTGTTTGCATGAGGAAGGTGCAGGGGAGCAGGCCCAGGTGGGTTTGCTGCGTCTCAGCGGTGGAGGGGGCAGCCTGAGCTCAGGTCCATCTTGCTGTGGCAGTGCCAGCAGACCAAAGGGCCTGTGTGGGTCCGCGCGGCTCAGCCCTTCAACCTGCATATCACGGCTTGGGGGAGAGAGAGAGACCCTCTGACCTAACAGGGGCCCTGGAGATGGAGGCTCCACAGTGGCAATGAGGGTCCACCCAGGGAAGACCCTATCCTACCCTCAGGGCTGGCAGCCGAGCCGGTGTCACCTCCCTGGCACAGCCATCCACCCCCACCCCCATTCGAGCAAAGCAATGACAGTTTCCCGTAGGCTGCTTCCAGCTTCAGCTGGATATTTGTATGGATTTGGGGGTGCCCAGCAGTTCACACCTGGGCTTCAATTTTCCCACGTTCCAGTTTGTATTGGGCCCACACCTGTGCAAACTTATTGGCCATTGTACCGTGTACAAGCGCCCCTTTTTCCCATTCAGGTTTCATCGTGCCTTTTTTAGCTTTGCGAGCAGCGCATCTCTCTATGCCTTGCCCCAACCACGTGGGGGAACTTACCCACCACGTTGTTATCCACAAAGCACGACGTTATTCCTTAAATCCATGGTTATCCTTAGTTTTTAAGCTATCCACACCAGATATTCCTTGCTGCCCCAATTTCCTCATTCCAAATATGCCTCAGGCCCATTGGGTCCCTATTCCAAATTGCTTCACCTGTGAGCAGGGAACTAACGGTTCTTTTCCATTAAACCCTTCAAGCTATTTTTTCCCCTCCTTGCTTGTGAGAATGGAGCTTCCTCTTCATTCACGATTGAAGAGGAAGCCCCCGTGTCTATTCGCATTGTTTGTCTCGGTGCCCAACCATTTGTAGCACTTTCAAACTGTGCATTCACTAGAGGACACCCCCAACACTCCTATTTTATGGGTGCTAGAAAGAGGAGGCTCTCGGGCACCGGGCTCTCCTGGTGCTCTGGAGGCAGAGTCCTGCACCAGGGAGCTGGAGGGGAAGGAGCCACGGAGCCTGCGAGGGGTTCGAGCTGGGGCTGGTTTTAATACGCGGGATTGGTACAGCCCAGTGCGTGGCAGGAGAGGGGAGCATCCCATGCGCATGTGCGTGCACACACACTGTACACTCTCACAGCAAGGAGACCTGGACACACACACACACAGAGTCTCACAGCAAGGCAGCCCTACACACACATGCATACACACAGTCACAGCAAGGACATATGCGCACACACACACACACACACACACATAGAGAGCAAAGACTTTCACACATGCATGCACGTGTTGACATACACTCACACACACACTTTCACAGCAAGGACACCTGCACACACACACACACACACACACACACACACACACAGAGTCTCACAGCAGGGATGCCTACAGACACACATGCATACACAGAGGGCAAGGAGACTTGCGCACGCACGCATACACACCCACACAGACACTATGAACGCGTGCGTGCATGCGGACACACAAATACACACACTTTCATAACAAGGATGCCTACGCGCACGCACGCAGGCACACACACAGACACCGTGAATGCTTGCGTGCATGTGGACACACAAGTACACACACTTTCATAACAAGGATGCCTACGTGCACGCACGCGTGCGCACACACACACGTCATTCAGGGCCAGGCAGCCTGTCCAGCTGTGCAAGGCTGAGCTGTGCTCCCCCAGACAAGGGTCGAGTAGAGTGGACCCCCACCCGAGCCCCGTGGCACTGCGGGCCCTGCCCAGCTCATGGCACCCAGCACGAGCCGTGCGGGTTCCTGCCCCGCTCTGCGGCAGGCCCAGCCCCTCGCTAGCACCACCTGGCACCAGGCCCACCCGCTATCCGGGGTGTCAAGGGCTCAGCGGCTCCCTCCCCGCCACATCCTCGCAGCCCTTTGGGCCTGTCTGGGTTCCCCAGGGCTGGCACCAGGCGGCACTGCTGCAGCAGGCTGGGGAGCAGCTCCTCAAAGCCCAAGGCACAGCCCATGCCTGAGCCCGAAATACAGCCGTGCTTGTGGGTTCACACCAGGCCACGGGGAGAGCCTCCCCCAGGTCTGCAGCCTGGCAAAGGGACCACGATCTGTGGTGCCAGCCCCGTGCAGACGTGTCCACACCCCAGACGCTGACCAGACGCCAGCTTCCAGGAGGCCTGGGCTGCGGTCCCAGGCGTGGGGTGCTGCTGCCCTCCCGTGGCTGCTGCGTGAAGCTGGTCTGTTCCACGCCAAGGGAGTGGGGCTGTTGCCACGATAGCATCTCTCTGCCTGCGCCTTCCTCCCCCTGGCAGGGCTGTGCTGCTCAGAGCCAGCCGGATACCACGCTCAGCCCCGGGAGCCTGGCAGCTGAGAGCATCCTGCCCTACGTGGGCAACTCCATTGGCGGGGGCCACTGAACGGAGCCTGCGGACCGTGCCCGCAAGGGGCTCTGCCACCCACGGCCATGCCTCCACCCCGTGGCAGCAGGTTGAGCTGGCATGGGCAGGCGGTCACAAGCCTGGCATATATCCGCAGCATGTCCCTGCCTTCGGGGACCCCCTTAGCAGCTGGGTGGGGAGGAGCAGGGGCTGAAGGCTCATGCCCCACTCGTTCCTGGCAGATCACCTTCACGGTCTCCAAGCCGGAGGACTCGCAGATCCCCATCTGGATCATCGTGGGCAGCACACTGGGCGGGCTCCTGCTCTTGGCGCTCCTCGTCCTGGCGCTGTGGAAGGTAAGGGCAGTGCCAGCCACGGTGCAGCCCGCCTGGCCGCCCCAGGCTCCGGCAAGCACAGGCCAGCGGGCTGCACCTGGTGCTTCCTGCTGCTGCTTTCACGCTGCTCCGTTGCGCTCGTGCATGCATTTCTCCCCTGCCCTTCCCTGCTGTCCTGCTGAGCAGAGGGCGTTTGGCTAACCTCAGTGCTGCCAGCTGCAGCATCCCCTGCCAGGCACCCCTGCAGCAGAGGCTCAGCTCCAAAGCCCCAGGCCTGCCCCCTCCCTCCACGCATGGATGGACTGGAAGGTGCCATGGGCTGGTAGCCCAGCCGTGAGCCCACGGCACTGCCCTCATCCCAGCCCCTGGTTGTGTGCTGGGGAGGCATCAAGGATCCAGCTGGCAGCTGGGGCGCGGGACCGGACCGGCTGGCTTAGCGTCTTCCTGTGCGAGCGGCTGGTGTGTTGAGCAGAGGCACGTGGCAGGGTGAGCAGCCGGTCCGACAGAGAAGGGCACTCAGGAGAGGCGGGCAGGCCGCCCCTGCTGCCACGGTGGCTTCAGGAGGGTCTGGCTGCCGGCGACCGGGTCTGAAAGCTTGGCAAAGGCAACGGTGACTGGCTTGCACGGTAGAAGTAGCGCAAAGGGTTGGGGCAGGGGCGAGCGGTGTCCTGGTCTCTGCTGGGAGCTGTACCGTGAAGGGATTTAGGCTCGGAGCCAGGCAGGCAGAGCGGGGGCATCACCAAAACCCGACCGCTGCTCGCGGAGGCAGCTGGACCTGCCCGCGGAAAAACCAGGTGGTCCCACACACGGTGGGTGCAGAGAGCCACTTGCACGGCTAGGCACTGAGACAGGAACACGCCTGCACCGAGCATCTTGCACACAGGCCTGCACGTGTATGGATCTGAGCACACGTGATCCCCTGGCAGGCGTGGGCAGAGCCCCGGGACCCAGCGCCCTTGAGCCGAAGTCCCACCCACGCGGTGGCGTGGCTGGTTGGGCTTTGTTTTCCCAGTGCTCGCACACGTCTTTGCTGTTGCTCTTTCACCCCCGAACCGCTAAGCCGGGGTTGAATAAGATGCTTTTCCCAAAGGGACCTGTCTCCATCAGGGCAGGTTTGGGGGCTGGCTCAGGCAGCCCTTGCACCCAGCTTTCACCATCACAAAGACAAATCCTGCGCCAGAGGCTCTGCCCAGCCCTCGGTGCACGTGGACGGGGGCAGTTGTGGTCCCCAGAGAGACGCAGCCCTGTGCGAAGGTCAGGGCCGTGCCTCTGAGCAAGCCGCCCTGGGGCTTTGTGAAGCGCACCAGGCTGGGGAGCACTCGCCCTCCGGGCCCGAGCGGCTAATTGCCACGTCTGACGGCACGAGATGCCTCATCAGTCGCCACCCTGAATTGCAAAGCAGGATTTCTAGGAGTTGAAATCAAAGGGGATTTTTGCAAGCCTCAAGGGGGGGGATTAATCCCTGCCGGGGATGGGATTGCACTGGGAATCTGCGCGCTCAGGTCAGTGAAATCCACATTTCCCGAGTGCCGCTTTAACGGATTAAAGCCACGTGCAGAAAATAATTCAGGCCATTCCCCTGAGGCTCTGGGCACGGCCCTCACCTGAGCCAGAGGCATCAGTTTTGCAGCTGGGTATTTCAGCAGCTGCGATGCGTCGGGGAAAGGGAAGCCCCATTGGAGCCAGCACCACGGATTCTTCCCAGGCAACACATTTCTGCTGCAACTCAGGGGGGGTTTCCCGCTAGCCCCCTCCCTGCCACACGTCCGGGTCTCCGCCAGCCACTGAAGTAATGGTGGGGTTTTTCTCTTGTCTCTTCTTTAATTCCTACAGCTTGGATTTTTTAAAAGTGGCAGTCCCAAGAGAGACACGGAGCAAGAGCTTGACGCCAAAGTGTTAGAATGAGGCACCCCTCGCGGGCTGGTAGCGCGCGGCTAGCACCACCGCCCCATTACTTTGCAGAGTACGGAGTATATGATCGTCTCGATGCCGAGGGATTTGCGTGCGGGACTCCGTCTGCATCGGGACGAGAACACGCCTCTGTGTGCCGTGACCCGAGCGGTGCAAACTTTTCGGGGTGGGGGGGGTAGGGGGGGGGCCAATGGCCATGGGAGCATGAGCATGACAAGGTACTTCAAACTGGTTTTCACTCGCTCTTGGCTGTGCCAGCTGGGGAGCGGGACACGACAAGGGCGGCAGCGGGGAGCCTTGGCATCGCAGGGGTTGCGAGGTTAATGACATGCCGCGGCTGTAGGAAAACAGACGGGGGCAGTGAGGCTGGCAACCGGCAGCACGATGAGCCGAGGGGGGCATCTTTAGGGCACCGCCTGCCATGCCTGAGCTGGATAAAATCCCACTGCCTGAGCGCACCTCCTGCCCTAGCATTTCTTAGCCTGCGTTTTGGGGGAGACGGGCGCCAAGATCCATGCAGCTGTCACCTGCGCTTGCTCTCGGTTCCTCGATCGGCTGCTGGACCGCGAGGACGATCCGCCCGATTTAAAAGCGCTCTAAGCTGGCCATCGGCCAAGTATCCTCAATGCAAGGGTCACTTCAGCACAGCCGCCTTGTAAATAGCTATCCGTGCAGAGCAGAGCAAAGCGCCGCCGGCACAGTTCGCCCGCGGGCAGCCGGCGCAGCACGCTCAAAAGAGAAAACCTCTCCCACATACCTCATATTGAAGGTTGACTTTTGGATTAGTCCGAACAAAAACCTGGCCCGGCTCTGTGGCTTCTCCGTGTGCAGCACTTAACCAAACAAACCCAATTTGTCAACTGAGGAAGCAAGAGAGCAAAAAAAAAAAAAAACCCCCAAAAAGCTGTCCCAATTGTGGGTTGAATAGGTAACGCATTCATTGCCTTCCCGCTGGGCAGCACCGTGTAACGGAGGGTCTGGCAGAGCTTCCAGCGCCGCGTCTGGGAGCTGGGTCAGGTCCATCCGAAGCTACAGATACCCTTAGCGGAGGGATTTAACACAGAGAGTTTAATTGGCTTTCTATTTAATGCACTGACTATGAGTGATGGCAGATGAAAGCACCTTAATGCAACTCTTCAGTGTCCAGCTGTATATACTTCTTCCAAAAAAATATTTACTCGTTTAAACGGAAAACACCAACCAAAAAAAAAAAAAAGCAAAAACCAGTTTGAAGTGTTCTCTACAATCTGTGCCAGCCCAGAGCACAGGCCTCCGGCGGGACGCGGGAAGTGTAGCATACTTGTACAGGCTGGGTGTCACGCAAAAAGATGCTCGGGGCTGTCCGACAGACTCGCGCCTTTTGCGCAGCAGAATTATTTAAGCTAATATTAATTTTATGAATGGAACGAAAGAAGCCGTGTCCGCCTGATGTGTAATAAAGTCTGTTAAATATTGGTTTAGTGTTTGTAAGGATTAAAAAATACAGTATTTTAAAAAGGAAGTTTCTGCTGGCGTTCTGTGCTAAACCCCGTTTCACCTCGGTGCTGGTCCGAATTGTTCAGACCCCGTTAGACCAGAAGGCGAGCGGGCTGTGATTATACCACCCTGCTCTTATTCATGTTGGCACAAAGGTCTTTTGCACAATCACTGCGTGGCTCCTTTGGTCTTTTATAGGGACACTGTCAGGTTAACCCCCCTAAACCCTGTAGACTCGTTATGAACCTATACACTTGGATCCCAAAGGGTCTCATCTTTGCGCTAAAGCCCTTCGATGACTTGAACCAAGAACAAAGTCCCATCTCCTTTTGGAGGCTCTCTTTAATCCTGTTCAGTGCTGGGAGTGGCAGGTGCTCGAGCGTCTTCCCCGTCCGGTTGCCTTGCGGAAGGACCTGGACATTTTATAGCGTCCAGCCACATCCCTCCCACCCCGACTCACCTCGTTCTGCCCGACTGACCTTTGCAAGACAACACTCTTCAAAGCGTCCGAAGACTACGGAGGAGCATTCAAAGCTGCAAAAGGCAAAGGAAATTAGTTTGACAAGTTCTCTCGGCCCATAAGAAACCAAGATGCCCGATACGCTGCAAGGCAGTCAAGGTTCCTTGGGTGAATTTGATATCTTTTATTAGACCAACCCAAATGGTTGGAGAATAGTTATTAAGCAAGCTTTCAGGTTCAAAAACCCTTCGTCAGGCTAAGGAAGTTTCAGCAGTCGGTGTGTGCTCTTCCTGGATACGCTCCAAGTCATTTCAGATGCTGCAGATGGAAAAACAAAGCCATTTTTTTGCCCTTTCTTTTGATCTAACAACTCTTGTTTTTCCTTACCCTTCCTCTGCACCGTACCACGAGCAAGACATATCTCAGGGGCAAAACGCGCCAGAGCCTAACCTGATGCCAGCAGGGGCTTTGCCTCTCGCTCACGTGGCCAGGCGCAGGAGCAGAAGAGTAGCACCCGTGTGAACAGAAGCGCGGCTTTTGGGTCCACACCTTCCCGCTGAGCACCAAAGCGATGAAGCGCAGCGATTTTTCTAGTATTTTTTGCTCCTTCCAACAAAAGAAAAATGAACCTAAGGCTTAATTCTTGTTCGCTAATAAGGAGAAATAAAAAAAACTCTCTTCTAAACGAAGGCACCGGGCTTGTAAAGAACAACCCCCTACCCCATCCCAAGGCTATGATCTTCACCAGCATTTCAAGCCCAAGTGCGCGCTGCTTTTGTACTGTAGGAAAAGTTCAGTGGGGAAGCGCGAGCTGGTGGATAGCGAGTTAATGGTCTTCTTCTTTTAGGCCCTGCCTGCTTTCAGCTGCTGTTTACTAGGCAAATAATACATGCAGGGAGTGGAAATGTGCCTCAGTGTTTGCATCTCTACTTTGCAAGCACTGGGAAATAAACCAGTCGGGTTCATGTGCATAGGATCACAGTTCAGCTTGGACTAGTTTAAGTCTGTATTAATGTTCAAGAGTTTTCCCTCTCCCCCATGCTGAGCTGCCTCCGGGACTGGGCTGGCCTTGGACCTGAGCAAGTAGCATTCGGTTTCAATAAAACCTTTCACCCGCAAAGGGTCTTCAAGGACTCTGCACGGAGACACAACACACTCAGCAACAGCTCCCGGC